CCAGCCCCTTATTTGGTTTCTTATATGATTGTTTTCTTTTTAAACCATGAATACATATATTATCTACCTTTAGGTTTGTTCTATTTCCTATGCAATTTGAATCTTATGTCATAGAACTTATTGTAATCATTCTGATGGCCTAACCTGAAATGATTGTAAGTGGATAGGATTTGTGCTTCCTTCAGTGGTGATGAAGGGTTACTTGCAGGCTATGACCATCTATCTCCTTCCACACTTCAGTTATTTCCCTTCCGTGTGGGGTCCAAATCTAATTCATGATTCCAGTGAGCACCTGAATTGTTTTTTAGAAGTCCATTGTTTTATATTAACAACGATTAGTTCCTCCAACCCGTGTTTTCAATTCATTGTTTTCTTTAAAATGCATGTGAAACATTATTGTGAGAAGTGTTGAGAAGTCTGGTCTTCCACACAAGCGAAATAAAAGTTTGAATTGTCTGTCATTTCACCATTGATATCTTTCTTCCTGGTACATTTAAGATATGCAGAAATATGGAGCATATTTCTCTTCACCTTCCATTTTCACCACACTGCCATCATTCAGAGTTGAGTCTTCTTATTTATTTCACTAACCATCAGTTGACAAAGCTGTTACAAGTCATTAAAAATGTGGGTCTCAGATTCTGATTTGTACACTGAATTTATAGAGCCATTCTGTTTATTCCTTATTAATTATAACTCCCTTTTTAAAAGTAGCAATATAGATTCTTAGGACAGCTCTAACTTCTTCTTGGAAATCATATTATTCTTGGAACAGGTTTGCCAAGCTAAGTTTAAGTGAATCAGAACATACAGATTATACATTCATCAAGACATACACATGGGTTGAGGTATTACAGAAAATGTGTTTGGTAAAACCCATTTGGCAGATGTCTAAAACCAAACAATCAAAAAATAGCATTTAATTATTTTCTAAACGTAACCATGAACAGATTTTTCAATACCAATAATTATATTCTTTGATGCATTTATTTATGGCAGAGTAATTGTTAATTATAGATATTCATTTTATGAATAGTAAGAATAAAATCCTATATTTTAGATCTTCTTGCATTGATTCTATCAATATACTTAAACACTCAGAATTAGCAGAATCAAAAAGGGTATACAAGCAAATATAACCCTTTATTTTGTACACAGAAGAATTCCTGTGTACAAAGGCAAGCCACCACCTGTGCAAACAGCTCAGCATTGATCAAATTCCAAATTTAATTGGTATTTTTTATTCTACAATTAATTGACCCAAAAGACCAGGGAGCATTTTGAAAGAGACCTTTGATTATCACTTTAACTTTAGTAAAGTAATCATTGTCTTCTTGGTTCTTGGATTCAAGCCATTATTTTCACATTCATGTGAATCAACAGTACCATTTGAAAATGGGGCCATTGGACCATGTGAGATTAGTTTGATTGAGAAAATTAGGTCTACTTACTGAGTGCTTAATGTGGCTGCTCTAAAACTTGTTCAGGTTCCCCAGGGTATTCATTTCACTTTGACTCTAATGCTGCAACCAAGATTATTCCTCTCCGTAATATTGATGGAGAATTACTATTTCCCAACAAGGATACAAGTATTTAGTCTTCCACCCAACCAACCTTTCGTAATGAGCACCCAGTCATCTGCAAATTATCCTTCCATTCCTAAATTAAATAGAACTACTCTTAAATTTTGTGCTCAGAGGGCACCTTCAATAGTTCTATGCTACTTTGTGGTTATAACTACTTTATAAACATTTAAGTGGTATAATCAGAGAACACCTTCTTTAAACAGTATTAGCTGTTGCTGATTGGGCAGCTACTCTGGGCATTATATACACTATCTTTATAACAATGCATAGAAAATATAATCCTCACAACACAGAACAAGTAAACTGAAGCTGGCTCCTAAAGCTTTGTAAGGATGGAAATTGAATCTCCAATTAAAAATGCCAAGTATCACCACTCACTTTTTCTCTTTTATTGGGGGGGCAATGTTACTGTGTCTTCAGTGTGTACATATCTTTTCTATATCATTCTGCTCCAATCTTCTAACTCCAAAGACAAGGTAGACTAGAAGCCTCTCTGAGATCTAGCATACATATGTACATGTAGAAAGTAATTTTCTGGGGACATATCCTCGATTCTGATACTCTTTAGCTCATGCTGATATAAAATTCACAGAGAACAACTTGAATTGTCTGTTTGCACCTCTACTCCTAACTCAAACACTACTCTCTGATCCCATGCATTGCAGTGATGTGTACCTTTGTGGCCACTATGGACTTTTCCTCAAAGGGTTAGACCCAGACTTTCTCACCCCTCACTCCAACTTATTGGCGAATGTTTTTAAACAGACCAGGGTTGGATATTCCAAAGTAACTGAGATCTTCAGCCTTCCAAAGGCAGGAAGTGCTGCAGTTTTCCGTCCCACTTGACTTTTTCCTTCATGCCATTTCAGTTCCACAGAATAAAAAGGGGTAAACCCAGTGGAGAAGCATCCTGCCCTAGTTTTCTCCTGGATCAGGAGAATGATTCTGAAAAATATTTTTTTAAATTTCATTTTAAGATTCTGGTTTTATTACTTAGAGAATAATAAAAATGAAAAATTGTTGTTTCCAAGTACTGGTATTATTCTTCAATTGCATTTCTTCTGTCACTACTGGGTAATAATGATTCATCTATTTGGAGGGGGTTTTGATAGGGTCTTGTTGTGTAATTTAGGGTGACCTTGAACTCACTATGTAGCCTGGGCTGGTCTCAAATTTATGGCAGCCCTCCTGCCTCATCCTCCTCAGTGCTGGGATTACAGGTGTGCACCACCACACCTAGCATGATTGATGTATTTGAATACAAACTATAAAGCTTATTTATAAATTGGGTCCAGGTGGATGTGCTGTAACTGTCCTTGGTCCTTAAATTTTTAACCAAAGAAAGATGTCGTTGTACTCATATAGCATATCAAAAAATGGTAATCTGTTTGCAGGCAATGGCTTCTTAAAACATTAATTTTAGTAGTATCAAATCCCATACATACCTTCTAGATTTTTCCTCAAATTGTTACAATCTTCTTGTGGATATTTGGGCATAAGGGATGGGACATATAGCAGAAAAAAGCTTGAGAAATCTGCAAGAACAACTGTGGGTAAATAGAAAAGAAAGAAGAAGAAATATATATCATAAAAATATTATAAGATATATATATATATACACACACACTCAAAGATAGCTAAAATAATTGTATTACTAATTTCTACTAGTTCATTGAAAGGAACACTTAGTGTTTATACTGTTTGATTAATCTTACCTGCCTATATTTGGTAATCTGAGCAACTACTTTGAAAATAACAATACACAATATAATAACCACTGTTAATGTCCTATCATCTTGTTTAGAATTTCTGTATCATTTTTATTAGCTTTTATATTCTCTTTTAAAAAAAAGATAAAAAAAAATCTTAAAAGGAAATTGAGAACTCTAACTATACAGTAATTGAGTATAGGTATTACAGAGCGAAAGCTGAAACTACTAAATTCAAGGCTAAAATGGAATCACTTCTTCAGAAAATTCTATGGGAAAAATACCACATACCATGAACTAATAAGGAGATTTTATTGTATTTATTAATCCTCACATATCAAGGAGAACATATTAAAATTGTTATGACACATTATGAATAGCTAAGCTTCTCATACTGTACAAAAAGAACAGAACAAGTGCTTTATCTAATTACATTTTTAACATATTTTCTATAAATTATAAAATCATCTTAATGGATCTAAACTGGGTTGACAGTTAATCATTAGTAACACTATTTCACAAATTTAAGTAATAGTACATTTCAAATCAAAATGTTACTTGTATACTAAATTTGAAGTATTTTTATTGAAAATTCTAGTCTTGCTTTCTCAATTATGCTGTTAAGAAAAGCATCACAAACTCTTGAAGTCCTCTCTTCCTCATTCATACCTACTCTTACAGTAATTCTGAATCCTCTAACTGTACATGCTTTCTTCTTTCTGGGATTTTCTGACTCTGCAGAAAAGAGAAATTATTGTTTTGGTTCCATGCACCTTTCTACTTAACATGTACTGACTTAAGTCATAAGAGAGAAAGGTTGTCAGCTCCTTATAGGTTCAGGTAGACAGGAATTATCTTCCTGCTCCAGGAGTATATAAGACTGCACTACGATCTAATAATGATCTCTTTCTAATCAGAGCAGAGCAATTTTATTTCTCTGCACACTTCTTTGCCCTCAGCCCCAATCCTTCAAAACTTAGAGCTAGTAAAAAAGATTAATTTGCATTGAAATGTTTTAAAATCACTTTCAACATACTACCAGAATTTCAGTTATCTTGCAAACTTATTTCTTTCTTAAAAGAACTGTACAACTTTTCCACAAGGTTTAGAAACACAATTCAAGCCAAATACTACTTCATGTTTAAATACAAATGACTGGCTTTTCTTCACAGTCCAATCAAGAAAATAAATACTTTCTCCACTCCAATCTCCAGACTTATACCTAAAAGTGAAAAGAAAATATTAGAGCTACATTAATTTTGGATTATTTTCTGAATCTTTTATCATTCTGATTTTAAAACACATGATGATTCCTGACTGCTAACTAAGAGTGTGAGAGATCTCCATCCTCAGCTTCTGCCCATCCTGTAGGCCTCTGCAGTGCAAGTGGGCATGGCAGGCTTTCTTAGGCAACAGTTCCTCCACTAAAAGTGTCCAGAAGAAAATACAGCTTAACAGAGAAACTTCCACTTCTCACAACAAATCTCAACATCCTCCCTCCTCTCTGGAAACTGTCCTACTTTACTGAGTTGAATACCAATGAGGGAAATCTTTCTACCCTTTCTCAAAGGCCAAACCTTCACTTTGGATTTTGCATTCCACCTACACACACCTTCTCAAACAATGTTTTCATGTTATTATTATCCATGCTCCCTCTAACCATTGGCTCTCCACCTGTACAGTGTACAGTACTACTCCACTAACACTGCCCTTTTCAAGGTCATAAGCAACGTCCACACCAGAAGACTCAACTGCATCAATTCCATTAACTTCCCAGGAACGCCCTCTATGATCACACCACCCCTTGAAGTTTGAACACTCTCTTTGCTTGAGTTCCACGACAGCATACCTTTTATTTCCCAGGTCACTAGTACATTACACCCTATTTATTTCATATGTGCTTCCTTCGAATAAGTCTTTACTGCTGTTCTTTGGGCCCAGTCTATGTCTTTTATGTCCTTATATTTTCTGCTTTATTAGCCTTATTCAGTTATGTAGCTTTAAATGCCATTTCTAGGGTGACAGCTCACTAATCTGTATTTCAAACCTAAAGTACCCCCCATCCAACTGCCTTCTTGATCTCTATATGGAGATGTTTCAGGGATATCTCAGCTGAACTCACACAGCACATTCAGGTTCCCCCCCAAAAAACCCTCTGACTTGCTTTTCTTTATCTTAGCACATACATAGCACCATCATCCACTTACTTTTTAAAGCCAAAAGCCTAAGATATTCTTAATTCCTTCCTCTCTACTCCACCTCACAATCCACTGGAAAGAATATTCATTCTACCTTTACAATACACATTGCAGTTCTCTATTTGATACCTCCCTGTGCTCAGGTTTCAGTTGCTGGCAGCTAGAATTTTCGGTTGCTATTAGCACATACTCTTCTTCACCCTCTATCTTCCTGATGCAGTCAAGTCTTAAAACTAAAATTCATCCCATTTTAGTCAAGACCACCCAAAAACACATTAGCAGGTTATAATCATGTCCAGCCCCTTTATGCAGAGTGATCTCATACGTCACTGTTCTCTGCATGGACTCCAGGCTCATGGGGCATCTTCAGTCACCTGGGACATACTAAGGTGGGAATCCCATTGTAATGGGACTTCCTCAGAGAATACTTTCAACCATCCATGAAGGAGTCTGCTTCTAGACTTTATTTCAGTCAAATGCATACATCTTATAGCACTGACACACTGCTATCTTCTGGCACTAATCACAATTTCCAATGACTAGTTTCTACTTACTTTTAATAATTTGCCTTCTTTGTGGGTCTGTAAGGTTCCTGTGACTAAGTCTACCTCTTTCACTCTGGCATGAGTAGATGCCTAGCAAATAATTACTGAATAATTGAATGGAGTATAGGGTTCGCATGATAACAAGAATTTTCCCATATTGCACATATGATATTGGGCTGCTAATTAGGCTTCTAAATATAGAGCAAATAAAGTGTGTAAAATCAGTCACATGAGAAAAATGAATACTTCTTGTGGAATGTGAACTTTGGATTCATTTAGCTTCTAGGTCCCAATTTATGATCCAAGGGCTGCATTAATGTAGGTTTCTTTGTGATTAATTATTTATAAGGCATTAAAATGTTCTATGCCAAAAAGCATATCCTGCTTCAAATAGCTTTCATCTGTCTGAAGGCTCTACTAGATACAATTCACAAAATCTACACGCAGATTATTACAGGTTTGCGGAAATTACATTAATTATACTAGCTATCACACAACATGGGGAAATGAAACACTATTTGAAGAATTTGTAAATGATTAAAGGGGCAGCTGTTTCAAGATCCAGGTGTTAAAGTGAAAATGGAAATTTGCATCTGATCCTTTTATATGAGGGTTCTGCTAATCATGATATCATGGAGCTGATTTTCCTACAGACTACATGATCTAGATTTTAGTTATATTAAAAGTTAATGATATAAAGTTTGTTCCAACTTCTGTATTATTTTCTTCAACAGTTTTTCAAATCTCATTATGGAAAAGAGGAATGAATAATAATATACAGAAATATTTTATTTTATCTCAGATAATAAAGAGAAATTTATATTTATCTATGTGGATAAGAAAACAATGAACTTCAAAGGCTAAGAGGATAAAGAAATCATTGTCAAAGTTTTTAAAGAATGTACAATGCTTTTTTCAAATGAATTCTTAATTGTGGTATTGTCATGAGCATATACATATACAACATATACCTAGGTAACACACACACACACACACACACACACACACACACACACATACACATTCCCTGGAAAATACTATTTGGTTGACACATAAACAGAAGGGTGGCCTCATGCCATTGTAGGCCTTCCTTATACTTCTGGCAGCCATTGATATAATTATTGGGCCCTCTCAGTTTTTCTTAACATGGGGATTATAAAGCCTTCATATATTGTTATTCATCATATGTAAATCTTAACTTCTCTCTTATGCTTTTTTCTGTGAAAATTGAGAAGTAGCCATTTTTGTGTGTGTTTAGGGGTTCAGATGAGAAAAATCTATATGGCTATAAGAAATTTAAAAACTACCAATACAGGTAGTTGAAAAAGAAGTTTATACCAATATACAGAGTAGGTTTGTCAGGTACACTGCAAAACATTTTGCATTTCTTTTGGAAGTTTGAATACTCTATGTTGTCATTTCCAATCAATCAGGATTAACATATAGGATGAAGCCAATTTAACCCCCTGCCAGATGTGGCAGACATTTAGAGTGATTGAAAAGGTGGATGAAGAACAGAGATATAATCAAATCAATCCTCTGATGAATTTTCCACATTTTCTGCCTTAAAAGTTATAAGAAGGAAGAAAATAATATTTGAAAGTGCAAGGCAAATCATAGTATTGTGGATAACATTATTAACTATCATACACTGTCCATCTTACACATTATATATTGTTCTTTGGGCTATTCAAAATATTTCTTCAAAATAATGAGAATGTGTCAGGGTATAGGAGAAAAACAAAAGAAAACAAAGCTGTAGATCCACTTCTGTTAAAGAAAATAACATCACTGTTAAAGAAAATAACATCACTGTTAAAGGAAAAGAAGAAAATTAAACATATATGTAGTACTAAAAAGAGTCATCTGTAAGCAGCTGATAGGTGAAACCCAGGAATAGCTGAAATTGTTGAAAGAGAGGATGGTTGAAAAAAAAAGAATGAGTCCAAAAGTTAACCTAAGCATTGAAGTCATATTTAAAGAGCAAGGGAGAGTGGTGGAATTTGCAAATGAGATTGTAGTGTTATTAAAAATGTCCACAATCCTTTGTCTATTTCTCCCTATTACTAAGCCCCAGATGTTGTGATTTTTAAAC